GCAGTCTCAACGGTTACCATTAGTAACACACTACACCGCTATGGCTTAAAATCCTGCAACGCCCGCAAAGTCCCTCTGCTCAAGTCATCACATGTCCAGGCCCGTCTGAAGTTTGCCAAAGACCATCTGGATGATCCAGAGGTGGCATGGGAGAAGGTCATGTGGTCAGATGAGACCAAAATAGAACTTTTTGGTATCAACTCCACTTGCCGTGTTTGGACGAAGAAGGATGAGTACAATCCCAAGAACACCATCCCAACCATGAAGCATGGGGGTGGAAACATCATGCTTTGGGGGTGCTTTTCTGCAAAGGGGACAGGACAACTGCACCGTATTGAGGAGAGGATGGATGGCGCCATGTATCGCGAGATTTTGGGCAACAACCTCCTTCCCTCAGTAAGAGCACTGAAGATGGGTCGTGGCTGGGTCTTCCAGCATGACAATGACCCCAAACACACAGCCAGGGCAACTAAGGAGTGGCTCCGTAAGAAGCATTTCAAGGTCCTGGAGTGGCCTAGCCAGTCTCCAGACCTGAACCCAATAGAAAATTTATGGAGGAAGCTAAAACTCAGTGTTGCCCAGGGACAGCCCCAAAACCTGAAAGATCTGGAGAAGACCTGTATGGAGGAGTGGGCCAAAATCCCTGCTGCAGTGTGTGCAAACCTGGTCCAGAACTACAGGAAACGTCTGACCTCTGTAACTGTAAACAAAGGTTTCGGTACCAAATATTAAGGTCTATTTTTTTTTATTGTATCAAATACTTATTTCATGCAATAAAATGGAAATAAATTATTTAAAAATCTAAGAATGTGATGTTCTGGAATGTTTTGGTAGATTCTGTCTCTCACAGTTGAGGTGTACCTACGATGAAAATTACAGATCTGTCCATTCTTTGTAAGTGGGAAAACTTGAAAAATCGGCAGTGTATCAAATACTTATTTGCCCCACTGTAACAAAGACCTAACAAGTGAACAGGAAAGCCTTTTAGTGGTATTCCAGTGGATACGGAGGCAAATCAATTTAAAAAATGCACTGATTAAGTGAATTTTGGGGGCTTTGACTCAACCGATTCCAATTTCAAGGTATTTTCCAACATTTTACCTCATCAATTAGAACGAAGACAATAGCATCTTTGTCATCAATCAGTTGCTGGATCTTCTGAAACATCTTTGTGACCAGTTTGCCACTCTGTAACAAAGAGGTATGATTAGCAACCAAAATATTAGTTTCATCTAGAATATCCCGTTAAATAATATAAATAGGGGCCCAGGTACACTGTACCTCTGAGAACCACTTTGAGAACAAGCTGTGGCTGTTTATCTCGACAAACTGTCCATAAGAATACCTGCAGGGAGAGGAGTGTACAGTGAAGTAAAAAGAGCAGGTGTATTTACTGCTGAAATGGTTTCACTGAAATGATGACTGCCTCACCGACTCGACAGTCTGATTGACAGCTTCTGGGCAAGAGCTTTGCACAGTGATGTTTTTCCTGTGCCTGGGGGTCCTGAATGTGTCCAGACACAAAGTGATTAAATCAGTTATTTTATGCAAATCATCTATGACATGACCTCAAACAATAATTACCGTGAAGCAGCACAACACGGTTCCATGAAATCAGGTTGCTATTGACATTCTTGTCCGAGAAGTACATTGTTGTTGTGATGTAATCTAGGAGCTGAAAGAAAAGTTGATGTTTAGTAGTATAGGATGAAAACTTGCATACATATGAGACATATTTCTTTTTTTAACCTGGGTTTTGACTCCACTCTCATACACCAGGCTCTCCCAAATCCCATGGAATTCAGCTATTAAAAAAACAGGGAGCACATCATTTTAGAGGAATATTCAGATATAAAAGGAAAAGAGATAACACCAGAAAGACATGAAAATACAAAACACATACACAGCTAGTTACCATGCTATCATAACTGTGGCTTTGACTAATGCTTTGCGCAGGCATGCTTATCTTTTGGTTAGGGAATACCTAGCGTAAAGGGTGGTTCTAAAACAACTGCAGTGTTCTTCATTAGAGAAGAAAGATGCTTTCAGGTTAGGTTCACAAGTTATATTAGATTCCAAATGAATCCAGATTTTCCCAGCAGAGAAAAGTAAGAAAACATTCACAGAAATATCTTAAACCACACCTGCCGCATAATCTGCTTTTCCAGCATCCATTCACATTCTTAACATGGCCCAAATACTCAAGTTTGAGACAGAGCATTTAGCCATATTTTGGCGAAAATATGACAGTTTGTAACATGCTGAGGATACAGATGTACATCATAAATGCATGTATCAGAGCTGACAAAGGTATTTTTCCTTCAGAGGAGCTACTGTACAAACCAGAATCAGGTGGAAACACATCAAATAAAGACAACAATCTTGTCTCAATATATTTCCTCAGCAACATTTGTTTATATTCAATGTGCTATCTTCCTCAATGTCTAGTATCACCTGCTGGCAGCAACCAGTGATTGGCTGCTGAAAGCTCCTCATCGTCTTCCAGACTGAGTGTGCTAGGTCCATCCTCATTCAGAGTGAAGATGTGAATGGACAAAGAGCAGCTCTGAAAATCAATGGGCTGAGTGGGGAGGGGGGGGGGTGTTAATTAAAACAAATAAATAAACTGCAAGGAATCATTGATTCATTATTAACAGAACATAACGTCATCAACACAAAGTAAACCAAAATAACAGGCTCATATTACCTCGTTCTCTGCATCAACTACAGCCACAGATTCCACATGCTTTTTTAAGACGTCTTCATCAAATTCTGTCCATTTGTAGTTTCCAAAAATCAAACGGTGGCAATTCAGCAGAGCCAGAACATGCATCCTCACGTCAGACAGTTTAGCTGTGCTGAAATATGACAAAAGAAAACCAACCACAATAAAGTATTCTGAGTATAAGGAACATTTCCATCTTGTACAAAGTTGTTATAAAAAGCCATCATTTAGTCCAGTCATTTTAACTACACTAAGTAATGTACATTAATATTTAATAGCTTTTGGACAACATATTTATTAATGTCATTGTTACATAGTGAACAGCAACATTTTTAATGAAGACCTTGTGACCAGAAGTATTATAAATTTAGTAATAACATGCAACATTCTTGGACTTTCATTAGACTAAAACTGTTAAAATTAGCAAGGAGTTGTCGTCCTTTGGTCCCAGTCTCCAGGGGCTGCACTACTTTTCCAAGCCACTAGAGGTCACTGTACGTGCTTTGTTTTATGCTCCGAAGCTTTTCGACACAAATGAAAGCTTCATAAGGCTGCATCGGCTCATCACTAGTAATTTGTATTCAGTGACAACATGCGAATATTTCCCCACCTGTGATGGCTGATACATAGCATCACCAATACCAAGTTATACTTTTGTAAGAGTCTTTTAAGTAATGTACAAAACCAATGCAAGCCTGTCATGAACTATGTAAGTGGACAGGTAAAAAAAAAAAGTCTTGTATTCACTTGCTACAGGGTAATTTTATTTGTAATACAATACTTTTACACTGTGGAAGAGGTACTTTACTTTATTTGAATACTTTGGCCACCACTGCTAACAAGTTTGAACTACTGAGCTAGCTTAACTCACCTGTGAGATTTAACATGGACCTCCACATTAATGTTTGGTTTCTGGTTTCCCACCTCCATTCCTGCAAATCTGTGGACATCATAGCAGCATTCACGACTTTGACAGCAGCATCTTTCATACAGAGTGCATGTCTAGTGTTTAGTTACCATAATTGATCGTAACTGAACACTAGACATGCCTTGTTTAGGATGTTGCAGCTAGCCAACATAGCTGGATGACATTAACATGTACAGGTGCAGTAAAGAACAAGTTAATATTTCCCAGCAAATGAAACCATACCTTACAACATTTACGTTCACAAGCCGATTAATTGCGTTAACCAAAGACTGGGCACTCAAGAAACTATCGACAGTCCTATGTGTATTAAAAAAACGACAATCAACCAAACTCCGCGCGCTGATTCCTTACACCGGAAACACATAATTTGTTTTGGGGTATCACATCCGCCTGTCCCTAGCTTTATTGTTGTAACGAAGAGCTGCAGCCAGAGTAATGGTAGCGACAATGGCAACATAATTAGCTAGACATAACACTTGGGATATAAACACGGAAACATGGGGAAAAAACACAAAAAACATAAGCCGGAGTGGAGAACAGTTGATGGTATGTGAGTGCTGTTATCTAGTTACCGTACCGCGTTTGTTCTAGCTAGCTTCATGCTAGCTACCTTAGCCTAGTTGGATAACTCTGCTGGCAAAGACAGATTTGCATCGTTTTTGTTCAAATGTAACATTATGCAGTTTTCATTATGTAGCTTTTAGTTGTTTTTGGTATAATCTCCTGCTAAACTGAGTTGACCAGTTTTTGTGACTATGATTGTAAGTAATAATTAGCTAAGCCAGCTAGCTTAGTTAGCTATTACAATCATACGTAATTTTTCAAATTTTAATCAATAAACAATGTTATAACTAGCTAACACGAGCTGTTGAATTAACTCAGACACAACAGCACTGCAAACCAATAACACAACATACAGTAAAAGATTTTCTACAGAGGAACTGAGGTACTTGACATCAAAAGTAATACCAGACAGATGCTACAGCACTCTTACCATTTAATGCTAACATCACCACACAGGCTCAAGTACTCCCTCCTCACCTGTTTACCAAACACTATGATTCCTATCTCAACTATCTTCATTTTGTTTGCTTTGATTGTAGACTATGAGGACAAGGCTCTTGAGAAGCCCCTGAAGCTTGTGCTCAAAGTTGGAGGAAGTGAGGTGACTGAGCTGTCTGGTTCAGGCCATGATTCCAGTTACTACGATGACAGGTCGGATCATGAGCGAGAACGCCACAAAGAGAAAAAGAAAAAGAAAAAGAAAAAATCTGAAAAGGATAAAGACAAGTATGTAGATGATGAGGAGAGGAGGCGGCGGAAGGTTAGTTCACAGATCATTCTCATGTCTTATTAATACATTGTTTGGTGCTATAAAGTAAAAACTCACATCTTTTGCCATTCTATAGGAGGAAAAGCGGAAGAAGAGGGAGCGAGAGCAGAATGAATCAGAGGCAGCAGCTGCTGCCAGTGCTGGCATGCCAGTCGAGCCTTTCACACTGTCAAAAACTGTAAGCATTGCTTTAGAGGTAAGGTAACTTAACTTAAGCCTGTGAGTATGACCGGTGATTTTTTTAATAGTTATTTTGACAGCTCACTCACATCATTTATGTATCCTATCAGCCTGAGGAGAAGAAAAAGAAGAAAGAGAGGTATGAGATAGAGCCCGAAGTAGAGGAGTTTCACCCCAGTGTGAAGGTGGAAGTAGAGCAGCCAGGAGACAGACCGGTCAGAGCATGCAGGACACACCAAGGTAAAAGGACCTGTCTATGAGCACAATATCAGATTTTTTTGGTAGGCAAGCATTTCACTTTGTTTAGCAGTTATTCATTTGTAAATGTGTAAATTGTTTTCTTTTGTTTGCCAAATGGAGAAAACGAGTCCACTCCTCGTCAACAACTCCTGGAGCACTTTTTGAGGCAATTGCAGAGGTGAGAAAGACTAATTCATTTAAATTACTGCATTCACTTGCAGTATTGGCCTTCTGACCTATTATTGCAAAAGCTATACCTGAGAACATGTCCGTGTAGATTCTCAGTCATCCAGGTCATAGTAAGCTGAAAAAACCTTAGAAAAATCAACTGGACTAGGTTTATAGGTCGAAGATGTTTCACCTCTCATCCAAGAGGCTTCATCAATTCTGAACTGATGAATTAACTACAGATTTTGACATATGAAGCATACATAGGGCCATAATGCAACATGGTCTGGTTCATCAAAGCACAGCACGAACAAGCGTCATTGATAATGATCATATTGTCGTGGCAGATAATGTGCCTTGGCTGGTGCTGATAAAGCTAATAGTAATGACTGGTCTTTCCAGGAAAGACCCCCATGGATTCTTCTCATTTCCTGTAACAGATGCAATTGCTCCTGGTTACTCAATGATCATCAAACATCCTATGGATTTCAGCACCATGAAAGACAAGATTAGAAACAATGAGTACAACACAGTAACAGAATTCAAGGTGAGTTTCTCATCTTGAAAGTGAGAGCTAAGAAGGTGGATATTTATTTCTTACCAGATGTACTGAGAGTATCATCAAGTTTAAGTGTATGTAAGCCACATTTGTCCTCGTACGTGTTTGACCACTTTTTGGCTTTTAGGCAGACTTTAAACTGATGTGTGACAATGCAATGGTGTACAACCGACCGGAGACTGTCTACTACAAGGCAGCCAAGAAACTGCTCCATACAGGATTCAAGATGATGAGCAAGGTAATGAGATCATATGGGTTAAAGACAAAAATACATTTCTTATGCTATAATATATATTAGAACCCATCGATCTTAAGTATTTGACACAGTCTTATTGTGTGTGTTAGCTGTCTTGTAGACCCCATTGAAGAGTCATTTACAATTTCCATGTACACATTTCCATGTAATCATGGAATAAATTCAAAGCACTGTGATATTTTCCAATTACCAAAGGCTGAGTAGGATGAGCAATACATACAAATAAAACTCATTTGGATGTAATAACCCAAAATCATGTACAGAAAGTCAGTTATTAATATCCTTGTCAGTTGAAAAGGTCTGAGGATTGTCACCTAATGCTTTGCTTGTCTATGCTCTGATTTGACTGTGTTGTCAGAAGTAATATAAGTATACTATGCCTCATATTTTAAGGCAGATTAACTCTTGAAAATGTCTACTACTGCCCCTTATATTGTATTCTGTTTCCTCTCCCATCCACAGTTAGGCAAATTAAGCAGTGTTGCTCTTTTTTTTTTTCTTCTGTTCTGTGTGCAGGAGCGACTATTGGCTCTGAAGCGCAGCATGTCTTTCATGCAAGACATGGATTTCACCCAACAGGCAGCCATTTTGGGAGATGAAGACTTGACAGCTGATATACCTCCTCCAGAGATAATCCCCACCCCAGTGGAATCAGCTAAGAAGTCCCGGAAACAACCTGTCAAAGACATGAAGGAAGTCATTAGGTATTCCTTATATCATCTTGATTACATGTGATTGATTTTAATATATATACATTTAAGGAAAGACCAGAAGGGAAGTCCTGTGTTTTATGCTTTGTGATACAACACAGTACAATAATCTGGTAACACTGTCACATCTGTTATCTTAGTTACCTGTATGAACCAGAGGGAAATGCTTGTAGCTTGACTGACAGTACAGCAGAGGAACATGTCCTGGCACTAGTGGAACATTCTGCAGATGAAGCCCGGGATCGCATCAACCGATATATGCCAAACTCCAAGGTTTTTCACCCTACTTATTGTACAGAAATCCCCTTTCATACATAATGGTTTTTATTAGCTACACACACACACACACACACACACACACACATACATAGTATAACAAAAAAAATCACAAAGTTGTATTCAGGATTCCACACTCAGATATGATAAGGAGTCATATCCCAAATTTGACTTGGTATATTAAAGCAAGTAATGTGTGAATTTGATTTGAAAATATATTTTCACTTTTCTGTGTTTCAGATGGGGTATTTGCATAAAGATTCAGATGGTTCTCTTCTATATACTGTTGTAAATCAGCTTGATCCTGATGCTGAAGGTTTGCTGTCACTGCAGAGCCTTTTAAACCTGGTGTTCTCACAAGAACTGCACTACAATTATATAAAAAATTTGTGTAAGATGCAAATGTCTCCTCTTTTCAGAAGAGGAAACCCATAAAGTGGACCTAAATTCTTTGTCAAATAAGCTTCTCCCTGGATTAACAACCTTGGGTTTCAAAGATGACAGGAGACACAAAGGTATGTCATCACATGCAGTTTTGTTTCTTTAATTCATATTAGTTATTTTAAATGTCAGTTAACAGTAATAAAATTGGCCACAAAGTTTATGGCCTATAACTGATTTTGCATTTGTGTAGTCACCTTCCTGAGCAGTGCCTACAATGTCCAGAGCCTTCAGAAGAACTCCATCTTTCCAGACCTGCTGCCTGACGAGGTAGACATGCTCTATTCAGCTTACGGAGATGACACAGGGGTGCAGTGTGCTTTGAGGTAGAGCACTGTTTTTTTTTTTTTGGTTCTATATAAAACATAGATTTAAATTTTCTAATAATAAAATTGTCTTCAATTTCAGCTTGCAGTTTTTATTAATAATTTGTATATATACAATTTTAATCACTCTCTAAGTATACAGGAGTTTGTCAAGGGCTGTGGAAGTGTCACTAATCGGTGGGTTGATGGACTTCTGGATAAGATGACCGCAGGCGATCACACTAAAGCTGCCAGTCAGATCCGACAGGTATCTCAGATTTATACATTGTCTACTCATGGGTGAAATTGTCTTCATCATTTGTACCACATAGTTTTCTGTGATGTAGGGCTGGTATGTGTAAATTATGCTTATGCTATATTCCAGAAACGAAACATGATGCTGAGACCTGATGAAACCAAATCCAACCTTTGTGACATTCAGGTTTGTTGTAGCTTATAGAAGATGATACTGCACTTATAATAATGTTTTGCTTGTCCCCTGATGCTTGAGTCTGATTCATACTGTGTTTCTGTCAGATGGCAGATAGCACTGGCATAGGAGACAGCGGCTCAGTCCTGGATTTTATGTCAATGAAGGGCTATCCCGATATGTCTCTGGAGATCTCCATGCTTAATTCATTAGGTGATTGTCCTCCATTAACACTGAGTAGCCACATTTACATGCACACCCGTAATCTAGTCATAACATAGTTAAGATAGCAAGGTGGAGCCCCTGTAAACAACTAATTATATTAATGCAATAATGCTAGTAGTCTTGGTAAGCATAAGAGCAGTTAAATGTTTGAGGTTGCAGCCCTAAAGGGCATATTAACCATGTTAACCCCTTAATCCCATCAAAACTCTCCAGCACAGTTTTACTACAACTGTCTCTGGGAAAATACCTTTTTAATGCTTTTCTATTCTAAAGCTAGGATAAACAGAGCGGTGCAAAACACAGTTGTACTGAAATTATCTGTAATGATGCCACTCTGGTACACCGTTGTGACCACTATAGTACCAGAGCTATTAGTCTGTCCCAGCAAGCCAGAACCTCACTATAATATATGTGCCTTTTTAGATTCCTACAACAATCTTACCTTCTCCCTTTCTTTATCAGGTAAAACCGTGAAAAAAGAGCCAGGGAATGAAGAGGGCCAGCAGCATTTTGAAGATGCAGACAAACTGCTACAAGAGTTCCAGGAGGCGCAGGTCGACAGAGTCGGCTCCAGACCCTCATCCAACTTGTCCTCCCTCTCTAATGCCTCAGAGAGGGACCAGCACCACCTAGGTATCAGAGTAAGGCTAAAAAGTTAAGTGCTCAGAAAGGAGCACTGCTAATAGTTTTAGTTACAATTTATAGATCTTGTTTTATTATATATTATTGTCATCACTATGATAACAAGCCATTATTCTGTTTAGCTCAACTCTTTTTTTAAATATCACTTAAATTCTGCAACATTTTCATGCCTTCCTTGGAACAGTCGCTCTATTGAAACTACATAACCATATTTTCTGCTGTCCACAGGGAGCCCATCACACCTGGGTGTTGGTGACCAGTCGGATATGGTTCATGATCCCTATGAGTTTCTGCAGTCTCCGGAGCCAGAGAGCACAGGCAACAGCTGACCACACACTCTGCTATTTTGTTATCCTGGCTACTCGGTGTTTGACTGTTTAAACACCATGGAGACAACAGGAATCCCTGATCTGTTTTAAAGACACAATAAAATTGTTTGTAGTGTAATTGTATGGTTTTGTATGAGTGTAAAATTTGAAAAAATAAAAGTTTGCATGTATGTGTGTGTATGTATGTATGTATTAAGCTGCATTATGCTGTACATACTGTAGGAGCAGCTGCAAGTGCAGGAACTGGCTGCCAGTTATACTAGTCCAAATTTAGTGCATTAGTAGTGAAAGTATGTTTTGTAAGATCGTCCAGCTGCAGAGGTGAAGCATTGCTAAGTTCTCAAATTTTTGGAGCAGTAAGCTTAGGCTTTGGTTGAGTAATGTTTGCTACTGTGGCAGTATGTGAAGGCAGAGTAAGGAAGTGAAAAGAATGAAATATGCATGCAGTATACATTTACCTACAATATAATGTAACATAAGAAACTGAAAAGAATGATTTTTGAAAGCAGAAGTGCAATGTTTAGTTCCCTATTGCTCTCATGGGAACAGACTATCAGCTGTTTTCAAGGAGCTCATATTCTCCAGGGTTTAAGATTGACAAAAAAAATCCAAACACCGAGATTGACAGGCAAGCTGCATGTATGTTTAAAAATAAACATTATTATTATTATTATTATTATTAATAAAGGGTGCGCCTTGAGGAGACGTGTAGTGCACATGCGCAGCCGGACGGTTTCCATGGCGCCGCTCCGACCTGCTGAGTGCGACTGTTCAACTTGAACTCAGGTCCTTCAGTGACAAATTTTTTTCACGTTTACGGCTATTTTTTTTTTTAAATTGTTTTGCCTTGAACAGTGGCTTGTGTTTATTCATCATGTGAATTTAACTTTTTTTGAAGCACCTTCTCAGCTGACTCTGTGAACAGGAGCATACTGTTTTAATTTTATGGTCGCCGTCTTTCACCGGAAAAGTAAGTAACTAAGTACTCACAGCTCTATGTAGGCCTGTTGTCCTATAGATAACTGTTGGCATGACTGTTGTTTATTTTAAGGTGTAAAAATTATATAACAGTTTAGGGGGCGGTTTGTAAATTCAACACAAAATGCGGGGCGAGGTGCTAAAGCTGACAAAGTTAGCTTTAACAAGATTACAGCCAAACTTGGGTTAAATTTACCTTAGAGGTCCAATTCAGTCAGTGACCAACTTTACCAGAACTACATAGGCTGCGC